CACTGTCCCAGGTCTACACATTGGAGCCTTCAATGTACGCACCTTATGTCAAATCGGTCAGCAGGCTTCCTTGGCTAAAACCCTAGAATCTCGTACCATTGATGTATGCTGTGTCTCCGAAACACACATACAGGATCCCAGTGTGGTCTTTCACTTGACCTCACCTCGGCAAAACGGAGAGCCAACGAGATACACCCTCCGTGTATCTGGTGACCCAACGGCCAGCTCTCGTGGACTGGCAGGAGTAGGGATAGCCCTGAGCGTGAGGGCGGATCCCCGTCAACAGTCGTCTATGTGCTGTTCGGCTAAACGGCTCCGTAAGAACTCGGAAGGATAGGGACACACGTCGTTGCCTTTTTGTCGTTTCTGCCTACGCTCCCACCGACTGCAGCTCAGATGATGTGAAAGATGAATTTTACAGAAAGCTATCTGAACTTCTTCAGAAAGCTAAACGTTCAGACATAGTACTCGTTGCAGGTGACTTTAATGCCCATGTAGGTAGTTTAAACCAAACAGAAAGGCATTTAGGTGGGTATTTTAGTATACCGGCACAACGAACAGATAATAGTGATCGTCTGCTGCAACTATGCTCAGACAATCGTTTGTTTTTAGCAAATAAATTTTAAGCATAAGGAAAGACATCGTCTAACATGGCGACCCTCTACACCAAACCAACGATGGACTCAAATAGACCATATTGCCATCAGTCATCGTTGGAGAGGGTCGGTAGAGGATTGTCGGTCATTCTGGAGTACCTGCTTGGACTCCGACCATGCCCTAATACGGGCACGCATCTGTTTGCGCCTCACTGGATGCAAAAACGCCACATTAAAAAGACCAATTAGAACTGAGTTGAGTAACGAGAAAACCGAAAGTAGGTTCCAGGAACAACTGAGGTCACGATTAGGTAGTTCTGAAAACGAGGCTGACCCAGATGTTGCTTGGAAAGCTATACAAACAGCTGTGGAAACAGCAATGAAATCTACTAGTGACTTAAACCACAGAGTTACAAAAAACCAGTGGATTTCTTCAAAGTCTATCACACTGATGGATTCTCGCAAACTCGTCCCATCAGGTTCTGAACATGATGAAGAGCGACAACAAATCAGATCTAAGTTAAGAAAAAGTCTAAGACACGACCGTGAGCAGTGGTGGGCAACGAAAGCAAACGAGATGGAAAAGGCGGCGACTATAGGGAACACAAGACAGCTTTATAGATTAATAAAAGAAACTGGAACTAATAAGTCAAGTGTAAGTCAGATTATTTCAGAAAAAGACGACACCCTCATCTACTCCCAGTCCAGACGTTTAGAACGATGGGCGGAACATTTCAGAGAACAGTTCAACTGGCCTTCAGCTACTCTACAACTACCCTCCATTCCCAGACAGTGTGAATGGAACATTGAAGTAGGTCCCCCAACTCTAGCAGAAGTTCAAAAGGCTATAGTTAATCTGAAACGAGGAAGGGCAGATGGATTGGCTCCAGAGGTGTTTAAGGGTAATGGTCCAATTTTAGCGATTAAGTTGACCAATATTTTAGCTAAGATCTGGGAGTTAGACGTTATTCCATCTGACTGGTCGCAATCACTTATCGTCCCAATATATAAGAAAGGGTCAAAATCATCCTGTGACAACCACAGAGGGATTAGTTTAACTAATATAATATCTAAAATACTGGCCTCGATAATTATCAGACGCCTAACTAATACTCGTGAACTGCAAACACGAGAGAATCAAGCTGGCTTCAGACCTGGTCGTGGCTGCATCGACCACATATTCACCATTCGTCAGGTTCTAGAACACAGGCATACTTATCGGCGTCCGACAATGGTGGTCTTTTTTTACTTAAAAGCAGCATTTGACTCGGTAGACCGCGAGATTCTGTGGCAGTGTCTGTCATTGAAAGGCGTACCTCAGAAGTACATAAACCTTGTGAGGGCTCTTTACTCGAACACGACTAGTCGAGTCAGAGCTGATGGCGAACTGTCATCTGCTTTTGCAACATCAAGTGGTGTCCGTCAGGGCTGTCCACTTTCTCCATTTTTGTTTAACTTCATCATAGACCTATTGATGGAAATAACATTCTCGTCGACTGTTCTCGGGTATTGATCTCCTTCCTGGAGGTCCACTTATCGACTTAGAATACGCAGATGATATAGTCCTGTTTTGTGAAGACGCTGATAAAATGCAGTCTTTTGATAGCACTAAGCAACAATGCCAGAATGTTTGGAATGCGCTTCTCTCCCTCTAAATGCAAGTTATTGCTTCAGGACTGGTCTGCGTTAACACCTGAACTAAAGATAGGGAGTGAAGTAGTCGAACGCGTTGGCAACTTCACTTGTCTTGGAAGTCTGATCAGCCCTAATGGGCTGGTATCGGACGAAATCTGAGCACGGATTCGAAAAGCTCGTTTGGCTTTTGCCAACTTGCGTCACCTTTGGCGAAGGCGAGATATCCGTCTATCAATAAAAGGTCGAGTGTACTGCGCGGCAGTCCGTTCTGTCTTACTTTACGGCAGCGAAACATGACCATTAAGAGTAGAAGACACCCGTAAGCTACTAGTATTTGACCACAGATGCCTTAGAAATAATGCTGGCGTCTGTTGGGATCACCGGGTAAGTAATAGTGAGGTTAGACGCAGGGTATTAGGAAATGATGGTGAATCAGTTGATGAGGTTGTGAATCTTCATCGACTGAGATGGTTGGGCCACGTGTTACGTATGCCCGAACACCGATTACCACGACGTGCAATGCTATCCGGTATTGGAGATGGTTGGAAGAAAGTTAGGGGCGGCCAAACCAAAACGTGGCATCAGTGCTTGAAGTCACTAACTTCTAGTCTGAGCCATGTTGGTAGATGCAGACTACTTGGTTGGAGTCCGCGTGACTGTCGTAACCGATGGTTGGAGACTCTTGGTGACATGGCTCAGAATCGGTCACAATGGCGTCGGTGCATACACTCCCTGTCTTCCCTTAAACTAAGAGATTAAAATCACTTCATATCTTTCTTTCTACTAACTAATTCTTTCTTTCTGTACTGTCTTTATTTGCAATCTTTCTTTTATATATTACCACCATTGACCTATGGATCCGGTGTTCATCTTGCTGTGCTAATGAGGTATGGCAACCTGGACCGATGCATATATGTGCCTGGTCCTACGTTGTAGCTGACTGACTTAGTGCAACACCAACGTCAGCAAGATCATACGAAAATGCCACAGGGTCCCTGGATGAACGCATGTAAAACAAGCTTTTTGAAGCGACAGATGGAGAGCGATTTTGTAGTACTTCACCAGAGTCTTGAACAAGGGTCTCGGATAGACAACAAACGTCGATATTATACCTTTCTAAATACAGCCAGCCCTATCTGTTGTCCGACCTGCATAAGTGTGCGAACGTTGAAGGCAGACAGTTTGAATGGCTCCCGTGGTTTAAGAAAAACTGCTTCAGCACTCATATTCGGTGGTAACATACAATTTTCAACCGGACAGTGATTCGAGAACGTTTAGATAGTATCGAATTTCCACCAAAGACGAGCTGCTGTATAAGTTGAAAAAATAAGTATAGACAGAGTAGGAATAAAAGAGGGTGAATAATGTCGTAGTAAATAATAATAATAATAATAATTTAAATCATTTGATTGTTATTCGAAGCGAGAAAAGTAGTTTCCATAGATATAGAGAGTTCATCATTTGCGTGTGGGCTGTGATACTGCCCGGGTGCCCGAACCGAAGCAGGTGGTTATCTTAGAGGGCCACTCCCCGAGCCTTTGACCTGAAGGTGTAACCCACATGGCAGTGGTGCATCGTGAGGAAATGCAGTCCCATGGTAGCCGGTGACCGAAAATTGGTTCATACGCCATTTGTTCCCTCAGGATACTGGAGCCCATGTGCACCATTGGTTTGGGATCCGGTTAAAGCGTCTGACATTCGCTTTTCGTCTTGTCATTTTCGCAGACAACACGCCCACCACGATAAGGCAATGAGTAGGACTTCTCTGGCAGAGGCCGTATACGCGTGGCACACTTTGGACCTTTGAAACGCAGCGTACTTTACCAAACTGAAATAATTATACTTCTACACTCACTCTTTGTGATGGGTTGGTAGAGTTATTCGAAAATTAGTTTATCTGTATTTTTGTGAAAGTGCCGATGGTGCTATGATTAGTAAAATCAATCTACATATAATGAAGTCACGCATAAATACTAACAATTTAGGTCCTCTCTGTTTGTAAAACGTAGGGTTTACATCTCTTCGCTAAAGCATTTTCGCTTCGTACTTGTTTAATCTGATACCTCTAGGTTTAAAATGTTTTGTGACTCACTGTAACTGACCACCATTGTTTCTCAAAGATGGCTTATATCCAACGCAACACCATGTCAGTAACCCTCAGGTCAGACAGCGTACACAGTGACGAAAACTCAACCGATGTCACGTTTTTGAAATATTGCTGCTGGCAGCCTAGGGATCGGTTACGAATACCATCACAAAGGCTTTAGCATCACATATTATTTACCGACTCTGATGAGTTAAAAAAGCAGAGTCGATCATTTAATGACGCGGCATCGTGATATGAAAGATAGTTATATTGGACGGACATCTGTTGATCTATGGTGAATTCCCGGTTGGTGGTCTTAAAGATCGTACTAGTTAGTAGCTCGAAGTGTCATTAAATATGACTCAGAATAGAATTCAGTGATAATTTTGGTGTAGTTTCTACTACATTCTTCATTAAAGCAGAATGAACACTATTAACTGAAGTAAACCTTGTTTTGGATGTATTTTTAACTGGACTGTATCTCTTACTAAGTAGTACTCTTGTTCATTTATTGATTAATTATGGAGTTCTTTTCTTTTCTACTTCTCCGTAATATGATCGTTTCATTTGTGTATCTCTGTAGTGTCGTGCTGTATTATAATTTACATATGTTCTAAATAGCTCTGGCGACGTACAAGCTACTACTAAATTTGTTTTATTTTTTTTTTCGGTATAACCTGTAGATACGTCTATAAAACAACGTAACTATTTGGTAAATAGTTGTATGGAATCCAACATCAGGCATCGTTCTGAAAACACTATACAGGCATATCCATCGTCTTCATCGATAAAGGTTGATAATGAAAAAAATCAACTTCCGAAAATGGTGATAACTCGTCGCTTATGGTTGTTAATCATGGCGATTACAGTACATAATATACCTGAAGGTTTTGCAGTTGGTATTGCATTTGGTGGACTTGGACAATATTCAAGAACTACTTTCTCTCAAGCGTGGTGAGTGGGGGTCACGTATTTTTAAATGCCTTTGTAATTAAATAACTTAGATTTATGACGAATACTAGCACGCTGTTTGCGAATTGCAACCTGAACTTCATTTTGCTTTGTTGTTGTACGAAATACCATTAGATCGTGTGTAAGATATTTTATATTTAACTGCCATTACCTCGAAGGTTTTAGTCATTTTTCAGGGAACTACACTCTGGGTTTTTTTATTAGATCGCAAAATGTAGATAATTGTAATTTGTACTTTACATACTCAGTAGTAAGGAAAAGGTGAAATGATATCTCCAACTGTCAATTTTGTCTTCATGTATTGCTGTAAAGCATAGTAAATGTAGAACCTGTTCATGATCCTTTTGAATGAACGTTTACTCACTCGCAATTGACATATCTAGTATTTTTTTACTGTTATTAATTCATTGGTTTTTTTTACATTTGTTCGAAATGCAAATCAACATTTAGGATATCGTTAATAAATAAAGTTCTGTTTGACTTCCAGTGGTGCTTTCTAGGTGAATGATCAAAGAATTGCTTAAAGATCATATTACTACTAACCATCATTTGCTAAATGCTTTTATGTTATCAGTACATAAACTGTTTTCTAACTAACTTTTCCATTTCTGTTTTTTTTCTACATTAGTAATCTGGCGATTGGTATTGCTATTCAAAACTTTCCTGAAGGTTTGGCTGTCAGTTTACCGTTATATTCATCTGGATATGGATTTTTCATTAGTTTCTGGTAAACTCACTTTTTTATTATTTTATTTATCTAGTTTGTGCTTTTTGAAGGTTTCCATTCATCTTTAAAATTCGTAATCATTTACCACTTCTAGGCTTTCGGAAATTTTAAGTTAATTTCAAGAGCATTAACGGCATTTAGTTATGATATTCAAATTTATTAATATATATATATATATATCACAATGAGTAGAAAATTTGTATTTCTGACATTTCGTGACTTAGTGTAAACCACTTCTTCAGAGTAAACAAATAACCGAATTATCAGAGTGGGGATTTGTGGAGATTGTAGTATTTTAACAGTTGAATTCACGAATCGATCTTGGCTAGACCAACATTGAAAACCTGGAAGTAATGGACGGCCGTTTCGTTCAATTGGTCATGTACACCTTATTTTAAAAAAAAATAACTAAGGCTTAAGCCGTTTCCGATTTCTATGTCTGATTTCAATTTTAGCTTTTATCTACATCTTTTACAAAGTTAACAGCTGTCCTTATTTCCTATGGGTACTGGAGTCGTTAAATCTTTTTAAGACTATTTTATTTGTAACTTTTAAATAGGTATGGACAATTGTCCGGTCTTGTAGAACCGTTTGCCGGGCTTATCGGTTGTTTGGCCGTACATTTCTTCCGAAGACTTCAGCCTTATGCGTTAGGCTTTGCTGCAGGAGCTATGCTATTCGTTGTAGTTGATGATATTATCCCTGAATCTCAGTCCAGGTAATTCATTGTTTGTTTTATAACTCTCTATTTCTCTCTGAGTAGATCCATTCATTTAAGTATGTACAAGACAGATATTATATATATCGAGTTAGGCATTCTTAAACAGTTATTTGGTAACTCAAAATTCAGTAGAAAAGTCGAGGGTTTATTGATATTATTGACTTATGAAGGGGTTAAAAGCGCATAACTATGAGGACCTATTTTTTTTAAAAACATTGTTTGAACAAGGAAGGTTAGGTTCGCTAACTGAAAGGCAGAGTATTTTTAAGACGCATTAAAAGTTTAACTGTGAATAAAGATGATTCATCACACAGAAGTATTCGTTTTGAAATTTAAAGAACCTTGAAAGGTACAGAGTTATTCAGTGACGCGGCATCGTGATATGAAAGATAGTTATATTGGACGAACATCTGTTGATCTATGGTGAATTCCCGGTTGGTGGTCTTAAAGATCGTACTAGTTAGTAGCTCGAAGTGTCATTAAATATGACTCAGAATAGAATTCAGTGATAATTTTGGTGTAGTTTCTACTACATTCTTCATTAAAGCAGAATGAACACTATTAACTGAAGTAAACCTTGTTTTGGATGTATTTTTAACTGGACTGTATCTCTTACTAAGTAGTACTCTTGTTCATTTATTGATTAATTATGGAGTTCTTTTCTTTTCTACTTCTCCGTAATATGATCGTTTCATTTGTGTATCTCTGTAGTGTCGTTCTGTATTATAATTCATATATAGTACAAATAAGACAAGAATATTGTCATCTGGTTCAGTTGTTATTCGTCTGTTATTTCATTAATTCAGGAATATTTGAGTTAACCAGAATTACTCTTCAGTCACCAGTTGCGCATTTCATGCTACGTATATTAGCAGATATAAGTATTATGTAACACAGATCAGAAGTGCAAGCTTGACAAAAGGTTTATAAGTTTTGAACTTGAGGAAACAGAAAGGAATTGAGAAGCGGAAGAATCGTGAAGGATGTAAAGGATAATTGATGGAAAATTTGCAAATGAAGTATTTAATGTATGGTTTTCGCAGTTCACTAAAGGATTCTGTAATTTTGCATTAGATAATACTTAAGTTTTCCTCACCAAGTCTTTGTTCACGATAACTATGTTAGAGCGTTTCATATAACACACCTATTTGTAAATCTAATTCGTACCTACTTAGGCGTGTCTTCATATATACCATTGGTGCCTCATCTGTAACTCATGTTAGATATTCATATAATCGTATTTTAATATTTGATCGATAACTGTCTTTTCCCATTGGTTCACAGAAAATTGTATGTGATTTTTTCTGTTGCCTATCTTACGTAACACTTTATTGGTATTATCACTACTTTATTGTCTCCTTTTGTTCTGTCTTCTCGTGCATTTGTCTGTCGCTCTCATTTTAAGTTTAAGAAGAGATGCAAAGTAGCCTATTATTTTGTGTTATTTTTTCAGGAAAATTTCATATGCTTTAATCTGTTATTATTATATTCATTTCTTTATCCAGTAACTCTTACAACTTTCTTTAGGATTGGCAAAAACCTGGATAGCGGAAATAATTTTCGCAATCAACACATTGGTTTGACCCTCATTTTTGTCGAAACTTGATGAAGGAATAACGTATCACTTGCATAACAATTACATATCTATCCTAATTCCATGTTTCTGTATTTTTTCAGAGGTCATGGCCGACTATCAACTGTCATGGCCCTTATTGGCTTCGCTATTATGATGTGTTTAGAAGTGGTTACAGAGACCTAGTGAAGAAAATAGTTAGGTTTCTTATTGATGGAGCTTAAATTTTCACTTGCTTTGCAGTTGGTTGACTTACTGCCCCTTACCTAATACAATTATCTGATTGTGATATTAATAAAACATAACAAATAATCCGTTTTTTACATGCACATATCAGTTGTTCGAAAAATGCTTACGTACACCTTAAAATATTCCCATATTTACTGTTAATGGGTGCTTGTACCTTTAGTCTTTTGTACTCATCTCAATAATTTTGATCCTAATTTTTGACGTAAAGAACAAATATTTAGGGAAAGCAAATCATGTAGTTTTTCTTGTCTTCGTATGAATTTGTATTTTTTTTCTGATACTGATGTTCTCTTTATACTTTAATAAAATTAAACTTAATATTGTCTCAAATCTTTCAGGTTTCATGCTGGTTTGTTTGGGATTAGAAATCTGTCATGTATACCTCGTACTTTTTTATATTCATGAAGAATAAATAGTTTTAATTTTTGATCTCTGTCTTCTATCACTTTTATTTGGTAGATAACTGTTAGTATATACAAATTGAGTGGTTGTTGTTGCTCAGGATTTGTGAAATTAGTGAAATGATGGATTGTCTGTATAATTTAATTAGTCTAAAAATACCTAATTCTGTGGGCTTACAAGCGATACAGAATTTGAGTTAAAGTTTCTGTTCAAACTGGTAACTTAAGTCTCTATTTGTTTCTCAATAAAAAACACGTTCGGTAGGGGCTCAGAGAATCATGTATCCAATATTGTTGGCATACAACTTCAAGTGAAAGCGTTATCGCTTACAGTATACCAATGACCATCCAGTGTCAACTTTTCACGTCAGCGGGACAAATACGTTTGTCGTATTTCCTCAGTATTAGAAGCTCCTTAGGGTAGGCACTCTGAGTCTACTCATTAGATCAAACGGATCGTATGCCCTCTGTAGATATGAAATATCATATCAATGAATTGACGAATGAAGCCAATCACCGATCCCGGGCACCGAACCGCACCCACGCTTCCTATTTCTCGGTAGTATTGCTAAGATATACAGGTCTCTGAAAAAACTCAGTGTATGGTTAACTGCATTGATTATTTGTTAATAAACTTAGTCCAGGTCGTTTATCTAATTTTCCGATGGGTCTTAACTGGCCTAGTAAACCTATCCTGTCTGAACCATGCAAATGATCTTAAACAATGACGTTGTTTTACAAAACTTAGAACCCGCTCTCCAAACAGCTAGGAATCAAACTCTACTCCAACAGTCACTGTATACTTTAATAATCGAAAGCTCACCCGTCTACATATTATATATTAATTATTATTATTTCAACACATAAAAATGGGCACAAGGAGCCACCATATAGATATGCGCCACACAAATCACCCGATTTGTATGAGGACTGGGATACTGCCCGGGTGCCCAGACCGAAGCAGGTGGTTTTCCTAGGGGGCTACACCCCCGGAGCCTTTGATCTAAAGGTCTGACCCACAGGGCGATGGAGCAACGTCAGGAGATGCAGTCCCATGGCAGCCGGTGATCAACGATTGGTTCACACGCCATCTGTTCCTTCAGGGCACGAGCCTATGTGCACCATTGGTTCGAAATCAGGGTTTTCCAGCTTCCCCAGATGGATCCTCCGTGTTCACCAACCCGTGAAAGCGCTGGACATTCGCTTTTCATTCTTTAAATTTCGTAAACAATACCCCAGTCTCGAGAAGGCAATGAGCAGGGCTTCCCTGGCAGAGATTATTATTTAAATTTAAGAGTTCGAGTGATTTTGATCGCAAAGTAAATAATAAATTATAATATGTATATCAATAGGGTATACGTGGTGCAGAACTATGTAAAAAGAATTTGTATACAACCACAGTTTATAAACAGTAGGAAATATATTAAGACTCGATAAGCCACATAGAAGCTTACACTTCGGAAAATCTGCAAATGTACGTAACAGAAATATGGACTTTCAATAAAATAGTGTACAAAGTGCTAGAATCATTTATCCCTTCTTAACGTCCGAGCCAGTTTAGAAAGGTAGAAGCTAAGCTGAGAAAAGCTAGATGCTCTTACACCTGTGGGAGAGAATGGCCGAGATATCCATTGTGTTCCATTACCTTCTAGTCGTGTCTACGATAGAGCAAAAGAAACTGTCATATGTGTTTGAATAGGAGCGTCGTATTACTCAACTTCGATACGTATAATAAACCTTTTTTGCAGCCAATCGCTAGTGTAAATCCACTGCAAAGTTGATGGAAATGGTTTAGCTGCTTAAGTCACATAGCATCATGTCGAAACTACATTGTCCAGTTACTTTCTGTTTTAAACCACCACTGTCTGGTGACCGGATGGTCTTTTTCTTTAAATATAAATAGTAAATGGAGTCTGTGGTAAACACACAACGAAAGGAATTTAATATAAGAAATGAGTATAAATCAGTCGTATAGAAGGTTGTTAGCTCATAAATGCGTGTTTAAAAATTTTCAAAATAATGAGATGGAATTTGTAGGTACACGACAACCGATGCACTCGATTTTTGCAATTGATAACCAGTCATTATTAAAATGATTGAAGCACCAACTGAAATTCAGTCAACAGCTATGTTCAAACCCTGGTTTTGTAAGAACGGCTAACGAGAGAGAAAATTAATTGGCAAGTAAACACGTAAACAGTATCTACTGAACAAGACAGTTTTACACAACCACTTGGACAACTTATGTTTTGACATGTACATCGATGTTTCATTATCAAAAAACTTTTTCCACCTTGAACTTGAACTTTATTTATTTATTTATTCCTTCATGTCGATCTCTTACACATACATACATACCTGCACACTCACACACATACGATTTGTTACTCAGTTAAGTATTTCCATGTATTTGAATTCTTCACATGATTTGTAGTTAACTGACTCATTTGATCCTATTTTACAAAAAATCAACATCCAAATATGATTGGTTTAACACAGTATAATCCTGATTGTTAAAAGCTATATATGTCTTTGATGATTTTGATTATTACCCTGAAGAAGTCCAGACAAGTTAGCTGGACGAAACGTTGGAATTAGTTATATTTCAATCGCTGAGAATATTTCAAATATAATTTTCACATATAGTGATTATATAGAAAGGTTTGAAATCTGGAATATGACCAAGGAACATGTTGAGGATGTGTATCGGAACAGCTTATTAAAAACTTTGGCATTTCCACAAAATCCAATTTCATTTCCTTATGCAACTCTCAAGGAACTACTACTAGTCCATGCAAAGGCTACAAATTGAAGATGTTATTATTATTATTATTCACAAACATCTTATGGGTACATCAGTGTTGTGAAGAATCCATTTCGGGTTTCTTCAAAAAATGCAATAATACACAATTTTCAATAATGTTAGCATTATACTTGCCATATTAAAAAAAATTTAGAGTAATAAAAGTAGAATAATAATAATGATAAATCGGGTCTGTGCAATTGAGAAGAATATTGAATTGAGTTTAAAAAAGGAAATGGAGAAAATAAGGGAATAGAAATAAAGGAGACGTGAAATACGCAAACAGTCTAATAGGAGTGTTTATGAACACAGAACAAGAATAAACGACTATGTGTGTATCGTCAAATTAGTAACAAAAAATAATTAAGAAAAAGCAACTTATTATTGTAGTAAGATATGACGCTAGAATAAATGTTTGTGCAGTCATAGTTTGGAGTGATGCGATGAAAGTCTCAATTGAGTGAAAAGGATAATGAAATATCAATATGTATGAGTCATATATGCATAGTGAAGATAAAACGGGTCTGAGAAGTTAATTTAAGTGTAACGCAAGTTATTGTCTTAATTACAAACTTCATAGCCTTAAGAATAATATTTATTTAGAGGGAAAGAAGAGCGAAAAGAAGTGAACACTTAGTGAAAAGTTTTGATTCATGATAAGAATAATAATTGCGTAATGAATATCAACCTCAGAAGGAAACCAACAATTTAGAAAAATAAACTAAAAATCCTTTAATGCACTCGGATAAATACCATGTAGATTTATGTAATAGTATGCAGAGTGAAACCGGATATTATTATAAACATATGTGCAATAATAATTAAGAATGATGCTATGAAAGTCACAATTGATTTCAAAAGACAATCTGGAGTTAAATATGTTAAGAAAGATAAGAAGATATAAAAGGAATGTCTAATGTGTCGGGGGAACAATAATGATAATAATAACAGTAATAATTATAGATACGAACATAAGCAGACTTCATATATTAAGATAAATAGAAATAAAATAAAATAGACGTGAAAAGGTTTTATTTTGCTTTTCAGGCAATTGAATGGATGACGGACCTTGTTTGTATAAATCATTATTGAATACATTGATATTCAATAGGTGACATAATCCACTTTCGGAAAGAAAATCATCAAGGAGACTTTTGAACCGGGTTGTAGTTTCGCTGCAACGGAGGTTCACTGGCAGTTTGTTCCATATGGTTGAGTAGCGAATAAGGAAAAAATTCTGACGTAAGTTTTGTGGGTCCTTGGAATCGCTAGAATATTCTCCTTATTGAGTAGATTGTGGAATGATATCATAAGGTATGAAGGGGTGGATACCGAAGAGTAGGAAATACCGTTAATAAGCCGGTAGATAAAGACAAGATTTAATTTGATACTTCTGATCCAAAGAGGTTCTAAGTTGAGTTGTTGACGTCTTTGGTGATAGTCTTTGTTATCGGAATACCCCAGAACAGCTTTGGTGAACTTTCTTTGAACACCTTCAATTTTAATCAGGTCATTATGTCTGCAATTACTGTAAACGAATTGGTCAGGTAAAGGAGGAAATCTTCATAAAGTGACTCGTCAGGACATCAAGAACCTCACAACATTAATACGTCATCTCAATCCAATGCGTACTAAAGGTTATGCAGATAACAATTCATTGGGAAGTTGTGTTCATCTTCATGACCTGCATTACAACTTTGTTCAATGTTTTTTTCTATGGCAAATATCACTCATGTAGTTCATGTGTATTTCGTAATGCCAAATGCTTTAAAAGTGGAAAAATTGGACACATACAAATGTCAAGACAACATATGCCAATACTTCTTTGTAAAATTTAAAACGTTAGTTTTTTATAACTGTCGTTGTTAATTGCTTAATTTTCAACCGGTCGGCGAGTCATAATATGAAGCACATCAAGAAATCCAATAGTCACAAGATTATTGTAGCTTTGTAGATCATCAGCAAACGAGAACATTACTGAATCCATGAAATTTTGCGTGTAAAGTGTAAGCTATAGCGGTTAGAAAATGGCGCAAAATGAACGATTTGGCTAGCTTTTCATTCTAATGCTGATCTCATTAGCTTTACCGGACACGCTTGTCGTTTAAAGCTCTCGGTCAAGGATGCACACCAGATGATGATAATACATAAGAAAGCTAGATCCGTGGATTTTGCGTACCTGTGAGGTGTATATAAAGTGTTTTAGGAGGCTTTTTCGGAGATAT